TAATTATAATAATACTAATTAGAATAATTTGCTTCGTAGGGGAGTCTCAGTTAAATTTTCTTCATCGTGTTTCGAATGATTTACTTAATGAAATTAAACACATACTTCCTGAAGTTTTTAAAACCAGGTATTTTTATATAATTTCTTATAAAAAAAAAGATTCTACATTTGGCGTATACTATGAAAAGTTTTTATAAATTTATATAAACTATATATTAATTTTTTAATTAAACTACTTTTGGTGTAAATTTAGTAACTTATTTACTGAAATTTTTAAAAAATAGCAAATTTATCATTAAATTAATTTTATGAAGATTGCTTCTTCTGTCGGCCTGCTGCCAAGATGATCTCAACTCTGCCTTGAAAATTATACAAAGTTTTTTTATTTCCAGCAAAAAAGTTTCTATAGAAGTTGATGGCTTTAAAAGTTCCCATTTTCCTAAAAATTTAATTTCGCAAAGAATTTATGAAGAGTTTTTCTTTACACTTTACAGGCTTCAAAAATATTCTTTAGTTTATCATTATTTTTCCCAAGCTTCTTCTTATATTCATGGTGATTTAGATTTCTTTTCTTTTCTTTTTTTTTTTTTAATATATATTTGAATTTTAACTTTAAGTTAAGTTTAATTAACGGTTTAAATTTTTATTTTGAACAGTTAATCAAATCATTACATTTTTAAATTTTTTAGATTTTGTTAATCAAGGTCCCCATCTTTGTAGGGAGATATAGAAGTTTGTTTGTTTACGAAGTTGCCTTTTGTGCGGCCGCTTTGGACGGAAACTATCCTAAGCTGTATTTTTTTATAAGAAAGTTGTTTTCTGAAACAAGTTTGGTTCTAAGTTCAAAAGTGATCTGCATGTTATTTAAAATCATTGGAAAAGTTAGAAAAGATTTGGATGAGCTAAAAAAATTTTATGAATTTCTGGTTACTAATTTTCAACGAGATGAAAAAAATAATATACTAAACAGTGAAGGAAATATAAATAGTTATAATTCTGTTGAGCTCTCTTTAGCTTGTTTTGAGGAGATTATTGCAATTTTCTTAGCAGAGCCAGAGAAGCAAATTCCGGTAAACAAAAAAAGTTTTGCTAATCAAAATTTTTTAAGCAGTGTGAGTATATACAAGTACGCACGAGAATTGTTTCCGAACGATTATTTTTCTATTAAACTATACAAAAAATTTATAAAAAGGTGCTCGATAAGCGCCTTTTATTATCAAATGGATCAATTGTTTTATGATGTTAAGGAATTGCTTAAAATTTCTGAGAAAGTAGCTGATAAGGATAAGCAAAGGGTGCTTAATTTATTAATTCAAGTAAGTTTTCAAGCTACAGATTTACTAAAAACGAAGTATTACTTTAAAAAATTGTTAAAGTATAAACTCAAACCTGACGAACTTTCGAATGGTATATGGAAACATTTACGTAGCCTTTCTAGTAAATAGGTGAAAATTTTAATATAAAAGTTTGTTATTTATAAAGGTGGGTCCTTTTGAAAAGTTTACTCGGAATATTATAATCAATTTTAAGTAAAAATTTTTCTAAATTTTATAAAGAAAATTCCTTTATTATAAATTCCTGTAATATATATAATAAAGTTCTTATTTTTGCACGCTTAACTTTATAATATTTAAACAAGTATTTTTTATTATTTACGACAAAAAAAATTAGTTGAAAGTTTTTCTTCTAAGAAAATGCCCTTAAAAAAGTCTACTCGGGATTTGTAAAATTTATTTCTTTGTAACCTAACATCTGCTTTATTATTAATAAAGCCTTTATTTTGTATTAAGAAGTTTTTAATATTTTGTATACAGAGCGCCTGTCTTATAAAAAACTATTAAAAGTATTTTGTTTTATCCATGATGAGGGGCGGTAATTTTAAGTATAAAAGTAATCCTGTCCTTAGGATGATGCCCTTCAAAAATTTACCCGCACTTTATTGAGAATCCTTTTCTCCATGAAAATATACTTTTGTAATATAATTACAAAGAAAGTTCATTTTTTTTTTGTAATTAAGTTTTTATTCGTATACACGGACACTTGCAATATACAAACTGTTAAATATTTTGTTTATACCCGCCGCGAGGGGCAATAATAGTATTTTATCAAAAAACGACCTTTTGAAAAAAGTTTACTCAGTTGATGAAAAAAAAAATTCCTGTGTAACAATTTTTTTAAACCAAATTATGCAGAAATTTCCTTTATTATTATCAAAAGAATATTATTTATACATACAAAGCATGTCCGTTGTACAATCTATCAAGTATTTTGTTATTATCCGCGACGAGGGGCAGATACGACTTTATTATTTTCGTCTACCACAATCCGAACTCTGTTCTCTCTATACTCGAGCGTAATAATAGAATTCTGAGGAATAATGCGGACTTCAGAAATATTCTCTACTTTCTCAAGTTTTTTTTAGCTTCGTCGCCAGTAAGTCCCACCAGCTCTGGCCAGCAGTTAGTTTTGTCACCCATTTGTGTCACTAGTTTCAGCTGGGAAAGATATAAATTCTTTTTTTAGATCTTTATTTTATTTAAAAATCCGGGTGCAGCGGAGATATACAAACTAGTAGAAAACGGATAGCTTAAAAGTACCTTTCTAAATATGGTTTTCTATGTCCCACTAATATTGAAAACAATTTTATTACGGTAAGAAAACTTCTTGTTTCCTTACAAAAACGCAACGCTCTGTGACTTTAATAAATTTACTAGTTAAAACAAATATAACTAGGAGAATGTTAGTTCTTTTAAGCTAAACTTGTTACTACTAGCACTGTGATAAGTAGACCGTACTAATATAAAATTAGGCCCTATATATATATTTCGACCTTGTTCATCCACATGCGGTTTTATAACAAACGATAAATTTATATTTCAAATAAAAAAATGTTTCTTTTAGCAATAATTGAAAAAAAAAAGTTATTTCTATAATTTCCGTAGTCTTTTTGCGTTATAAGACAGTATTATGTTAAGCATACTCAATGAAGTGTTTTATTTCTAGTCAAAAAATTTGTGAAGTAAATAATGTAAAGCTCCTGTGTTTTAGCATTCGTAATAACGTAATTTTGCATAACCACATCTATTTATTTACAAATTAGAAATACTACAATTTGTCTATGAAGTTCATTAATTATTAAGTGCAGCTAAGTAAAGGTTAACTTCCTTGCTTTGAATTGAAAGTTTACAATTTAAACTCAGTTATGCATCGTAAACGTATACTTGGCTAATCTTTGAATCCTTCAACTAGTCTAAGTATCTTTAAAAATTATCATAGGTTGGTTGAAAACTTGATTACATAGAATCGAGTTTTATTTTACTATTCATAGCTTGACCTCGGAAAGTACCCCTAATCACGGACGACTTTTTAATTAAAAAGCTACCTCAAAGATTTTGCTTTATCTAACCATGAAATAAACCATCAACAATTCTATAACGGAGTTATCAAAATAAGTAATCGATAAAATATAATATAATTGCTTGCTGTTTATAATTTTTGTGTTAAAACTTTGTGTGTTTTCCGCGTTTTTTGAGGTAGAGTTGGTCGTCTTTTTGAATATAAATTTAGATTGTTGGTAAGGTTGCTTTCCCATAGAAGGCTAAAATACTACCCCTACCTCCTGCCCTTTTAAAAAGATCATAGTTGTTAATCGGGTATCTTTACTAAAAAGGAAAAAAGTCATTAAAACAGAACTTGAACTTCAAGGATGTCAATCACGCGAAGTAACTAGTAGAAATTAATTCGTAATAAGTGAATCCCGTTGCCTCAAAATCTTGTGAAACTTCCCAAGTCAGATTCAGAAAAGAGATTTTAGCTAAAGATTAATCGATGGGAGAGCATAAAGGTTTCTCTTTTTTGATAAAAGCACTAATTTAGAAAGTATGTTATTTTGTTTCTTCTACCGTTGCTTAAATTTGAAAACCGGTTAAATTTTGCATGTTTTTCAAGTTTTTAACTTTGTCTTTGTTCTGACAAAGAAATTGTTTCGTTAATAGAATTGTTCAATTTCGATAACATCGTCAAGAAAACTTAATTTCTCATTATTAACATGATGTGTTGACCTGTCAGCGGTGTCCTCTTGTATGCAAACGAGAAGTTACCCAATGCATGGTCTTTTATACATATAAATATACTAATTTAGAAATCCTAACCTTTAAGTAATGTGACTAGTCTATGCTGCAAAAAAAAATTTCAAGGTAAAACTAATTAATTTATAAAATTCAAAAAAAAATTAATACGGTTATAATATAACTAAAAACCTAAGAAATAAATTGTTTTATACTTCATTTACTTCTGCTATAACTAGAAATGATGGAGTCCGTAGCGTTACGAAAGAGGTCTTTAGTAGAGCGTAGACTATTAAAACAAATAACGTTTATTTATGTATTTCTCATTTTGCATATTAATGCATTATGAGCCGTACTTGAGTTACACAAACCATCGAACATCAGCTTTCTTACGATTTTCATTAAATATTAAGGTCAACTACCACGGTAAGTGCCATGTTACTAATATGAAAATATAGCTTAAACCTTAGGAAATCGCTGCATATACCTATAATTACTAGGAATAACATTTTAAGAGTAAATTTTTAAGTTTTCATCTTTAAATTTTTATAACTCATAACTAATAAATATAATACTCATTCATTGTGGGCTTATATTATTTTCTTAGTTAAGCCAGTTTTCTCTCGCAAAGACCAGAAACGACCAACAATAGTATATTGTTTGCTTTTCAAAATTACTTAATTCAACTCCGATAATTAATAAAAAATAATTAAATTGTTATTAAAATAATAATTAATTTCCTAATTAAAAAAGAATGTGGGTGTGTAAAAATTAAAACTAACTAATAAAAGAACTGCAACTAGTTTGTTATTAACAACCAATAAGTTAAGAAAAGGTACAAGCCCTCACTAAATTTCTGAAGGCGTGAAAAAGCTTAAAACTTTTATATAAAAGCTAAATCTGTGTGCGTTAGTGCTTTGCCAAATCCTACTTTCCATGTCACTTTTAAAAGCAACTCTTCCGCGGACGAACTTAAGTGTTCATAGACTTTCCCGTTCAGTTTGCGGACAGTTTTTCTACTCGGTAACTGCTTTTCTAGATAAGAATAATACTTTTATTTATTTAGTTTTAAGATTAAAGAATGGGCAACCGTGGATCCTTCAGATTTAGATGGGAACAAGTGTGTTGAAAATCTCGTTAACGGTACTTGGAAGCGATCTTCAGATTATAAGACTTTACAAGATCCCATGAAGTTTTTATTTACTATTTAATATTTAATTTTTTTATATACTGATGAGTTTTTTTTATTTTTATTTTCAGCGGTAAGCCAATGCTTCGACTTCCCGATACTAAAGGAGAAGAACTGAAGGAGTTTGGCCGCTCATTGCTTAGCTGTCCTTCTTACGGACTTCATAATCCCTTTTACAACGTCCACCGCTACGCCGAGTTGGGCCAAGTAAATTTCCAGTTGGCTGTCGCTCTTTCGGATCCGGATGTAATAAAGTAAAAGATTTTTATATAAATCTCAGCAATTTTTTGTAGAAAATTAAATTTAAAAATTATAATTATATTTTTAAATTTTTATTTTTTATTAATATAAATTAATTATTACTGTTTATATTTATAATGGTATATAATCTTTTTATGTTGTTGACACATGATTTATTTATTTTTAGTATTATAAATTTAATATAATATAATTTTTTAAATTATATTTGCTATTATTTTTTTTAATTATAATTAATTTTTAATTTTTATATTACAATTACTAATATTTTTTTTTATTTTTATAATTTATTTTTTCCGCGTTTAATAAAAATGTGAATAAGTAATATTTTATTATTTATATTTTTTTTTCTATAGCTTTTTTGCAAAATTAATTCAGCGAGTGACCCCGAAGAGCAAAGAACAAGTATTAAATTTTATTTTTAATTTTTTTCTAAAAAAAGATATTTTTTTTTAATTTAATTATATTAAGTGTATTGGAGAAATCACTACTTGCCGTAAATGGCTTCAAAGTTTTAGCGGCGATCAAGTTCGAAATTTAGCCAAATCTTTCGGTCTTCCAGGTAACTTTTATAAATTGTAATATTTTTATAGGAAAATTGGTTTATATGGATTTTTATAAGTTATGTTTATTTATATTTTCTAACTTGCGAAATTTATTTATTTAATTAAATTAATTTGTTGTATTTGAGTTATTTTGTAACTTACTTTTATGATACTTTTTTATAGAAAAAAATTGATTTGTTTATAATTTTATTATTTAATGTATTTCTTACTTGCGAATAATATTTTGTTGATTAAATTAATTTGATATTTTTGGGTTATTTAAAACTTTACTTGGAATCATACTTTTTTATAGGAAAATAGATTTGGTTAAAAATAAATTTTTAATTTTTGTAAATTTAAATAAAATGTTACTTGTGTAAGAATCTATTTTATTATTTAAGATCTTTTAATTAACTTTTAAATTTTTAGTTTTTTTATAGGTAAATCGGTATTGTTTTAATTTTTGGTATAAATATAAATTAAATAAACTTTCTTACTTGCTTAAATTATTCTGTTGTTTGAATGATTTTGATCCTTAAATTTTTTTATAATAACGAATTCCCATTTTTAAAATTCAAATTTTTAATGTTTTATTCATTTTGAAAATGATTAAATTTAATTTAATTTTGTTATGATCAAAAGGGGATCACAACGGGCAGTCGTCGCAAGGCTACAGTTTTCCCTTCGGACCTACGTGCGTTATTACTCCTTTTAATTTTCCTATGGAGATTCCTTTAATTCAATCGATTTCTTCACTACTTATGGGTAAATTTTAGATTTTTTTAAAAAGTTTATTTTTACTAACTAATTTTTGGCAGGCAATAAAGTTTTACTTAAAGTAGATGAGAAGGTCTCTGTTGTTATGGAACAGTTGGTACGGAATTTTATAGTAAAATCTACTTTGGATTCGATTTTATAATTAAATATTGATTTAATTTCTTGAATTACACTAAATTTTTCTATTTTTTTTATTGATTATTCTAAAACTAATCTATTTATATTTATTTTTATAAAACTTTACTATTACATATTATATGTAGCATTTTACTTAAGAAATTAAATTTTTTATAATGAATTTTTTTATAATTCATTTTTTATTAAACTCCCATAATTTCTATCATTTAATTTTCTCGCTAAAGAATTTTCGTATTTTTTATGGGATTGTTTAATTTTCTACGTCTTCATTATAAAATAATGACTATTTGCGACTGTTTTGGCACTTTTCTTTAAAGTTTATAATCATTTATATGCGTATACAGTTTTTAAAGAATTATTTTTTGATCTTAGAAATTATTTAAATTAAATTGTATAAACTTCTCTAATTTTCTTAGTAGTCTAAATTTTTCTGTTTTTTAGATTATTAACGATTTTATTAGACGTTGATAATACTTTTTATTAATAATTCTTATAAAATTTTTTTGGCCTGTAGATTTTAGTATTAGTTTAATCAGTTACAGTTATATATATATAATATTATTTTTACGAATCAAACTTATTGTTTAATATCTTTGTTTTGATCTTTTTTTCTTTACTTTAAATTTAATTATTTTTTAGAAATCTTGTAGTTTTAAGGGAAAAAAATTATTAATATTTAGTCTTTAGATTTTTAATAAGAAATTATAAATTTCCGGATTTAATTTATAATTTATTTGTACGTAAAAGTATAAAGTTAAAATTTTTTTGCAATTTTTTTATTAATAGTTTAATTTTAGTAGTTGATATTTTTTAGATTTTATTCTTAATTCATAAAAGATTGTTAAATTTTTTTAATAATAGTAGTTATGTTTATTCTTTTTATTAATTTTTATTATTATAAATTGTGTTTAAATATTTTTTTGCTTTTCTTTAGTTTTATGAAATTAAATTATATTAGTTTTTAAGTTTTTACTCTATGAAATTATTAGTTTTCAGATTTGATCTTTATTTGATGTGTACGAAAAAGTTTAAAAAGTTAATGTTTCTTATGATAATAATTCATTTTTACGTAAAAGTGATGAAAAGTTAATTTTATTTGCAAATTCTTTTCCTTAATGATTTAATTTTAGTAGTTGATATTTTTGGGTTTTATTTTTTTAAATAACCCAAAACTGTAAGTTATTTATATTCAAATATGTATTTTTGATTATTTTATGGGTGTGGGGTGAATTAAATTATTATAAGTTAATTTTTTTTCCTGTAATCTACTCTAATAAATTATGAAGATTTTTTTCTATGCTCTCAATTCTGTAACGAAATATGAAGGAAGTTTATTAAAATTCAATTCTAATTGATTGATCTGTATTTTTCTTCAGACTTTCTGTAACATTTTTTAAATTTAATCTAAAAGTACAGAAGTTTATAACTATTTTTTATATTTTCCATTAATAGTTTTTCTTTTTGGGGAATTTTATTTATATTATATAATTAGAATTGGTAGGATTTAAAATCTTTATTCCATTTTTACATGTTTTTGTAATTTATACATAATTTTTGATCTCCGAAAAAACGTGAATCTTTTACAAATTTTCACAATTTTTTGAATTTTTTAAGATTATAATTTATTTTTTAATATTTTTTTTTTAATTTTTCATTGCTACTTTCTTATAGGGAATTTATATTTTTATAACTTATTGATCTTTTTTTGAGCGTTTAAATTACTTTAATTAAAGTTTTATATTTTTTTTTCAAATTTTTTCATTTGAATTATTATATATTATGTTTAAAAAGTTGGTTAGTTTTATAGGTTTTACACTTGAACATTATATGTTTTTACATTTTTTTTAATTTATTTTTTTTATTTTAAGAACTGACCTAATTTAAATAGAATAGCAATAATTTTAGTTTTAAACTTAATTATTATAAACTTAATACTATTAAAATTTAGGGTATTGTTTTTTCTTTGTAACTTATTATATTTCGAGTTGTTTTTATTGAATATAGTAAAAAAATTTTCCTTTAATTATTATAGTGTTTATCATATTAATAAGAGATATTTAATAGTAAATAATAATGTTTACAATAATATTAATATAATAATAACAGTAAAAATGATGACAAGTTTTGAACCTCTTTTAAATCAAAATTCTTTTTTTTTCCTTATTTTGGTTTTTTATAGTTTCTTTTAGTATCAGATTAATTTATTTTATTAAGTTCTTATATCGTTTATTTATTATTATAAAAATTGATTTTATTAATATTTTGAACATTTTTAGACTAAATTTTTTCGTTTTTAATTTTTTTTACGTTTGTAATGCTTTTTAGTCTTTTTTATATTTTATTATTTACTATTTTTAGGATTATCTTAACATAAAGATAATAAATTATTTTTTTCTAATTAAGTTCTATTTTGAGTTTTCTCAACTTTAATATAATAATTTATTAATATTGTAATCTTTTTTTTTATATAGTTGCGGCTCGCTCACTTATGTGGATTGCCCAAATCGAATATTGATTTTATTAATTGCGCCGGCCCCGTTCTTAATAATCGTAACTTTACAAGATTTCTTTAATAAACTTTTTAATATAGAGTACTTTTTTTTTATAATTTTATGCATAAATAATAAAAAACATCGTATCTATTTATAAGCTTTTATATCACATTTTTTATATATAACATACATATAATATTTTAAATTATATTTCGATAACTTTCATTAAAAGAAATATTAAAAATATATTTGAAAGCTTGTAAAAATAACAAGCAAATAAACGTTATAATGAAAAAATTCAAATAATAAAAAGTAATAAAAATTAATAGTTATTTTCAATAAGTGTTTTTTTTTTATTTTTAATCAATAAAAATTTTTTTAGTTAAGCAAGTAAAGTAAATTTTTTATTATTTATCATATTTTAGTTCAAATTATTGTTTTTTTATTTTTTTATTTTTCTGTTTTTCTTTATTAAATTCCTTTTGGAATTTTCATGTTTTTTATTCTTCTTTAATTCTTATGGTCTCTTTATATAGCTTTCTATATTTTTTAATATTTTTATAACTTATGCATAAGTATTAACTATTTCACTATTTTTTATTAGCGCTGTAAATATTATATAATTTACATTAGTAATTGTTATTTAAATGCCGTTAATATTTATTTATAGAATTGATTAATTATATTTTTTTAATTAAAAATCTTTAGTGTTGTCTGAATTTCAGCCGCGCATGACTCTTTTTACCGGTTCGCAGTCTATTGCTGAAAAACTCAGCCAAGATTTACTAGGAAAAGTAAGAATTGAAGATGCTGGTTTCGATTGGAAAGTTCTTGGTTCCTTTGAATTTTATATATAAATTTTTCTAAAATTCGTTATGTTTACTTTATTTTAATGCAGTTATTAATTACTAGTAAATATTTAGTTTGAGATTTAATAAATATATATATTTAGGCCCTGACGTTCCTACTAAGAAGGAGGAATTCGAGTTTATCGTTTGGCAATCTGATCAAGATGCTTATGGATTTTCTGGTATATATATATATTGCATTTTTATATATAAAATTGAGTTATTTTTTTGGTTCGCAAGTGAAATGAAGATTGAATTAAATTATTTTTTACTTAGGCCAAAAGTGCTCTGCACAGTCGATGCTGTTTATTCATGAAAACTGGGTATAATTTTTATTAAAAATATATGAAAAGTTAATAAAATATAAATAATATAGAAAATAGTTTTTATATGTTACAAAAAAGTTGTTATTTATAATAAAAGTAAAATTTTTAAAAAATAAAAATTTTATAATACAATATTAATAAAAAAATATTAATAAAATCTATTACTTCTAAAAAATAAAACTCCCCTCTTAATATATATTGCAGTTGAAAACGGGACTGGTGAATCGCCTCGGAAAACAAGCCGCCCGGCGCACTCTCAAAGACTTCTCTCTTTGTCCGGTGCTCACGTGGAACAACGATCGGTCCGGATCTCTTCTTTATAATTTCTGCTTTATTCTAACTTTAATTGACTGCGTCATGCTAGCATTCAGCGCCACTTGGACGCTTGTTTAGCCGTTGAGGGTTGCACCCTTGCTTTCGGCGGGAAGCCGCTTACTGGTTGGCCCATGTTTTCCGCGCCCTTTTTTATTTTCCACCAATCAGGTATGTCTACACCGCAATAGGTCATTCCATTCCTGAATGCTATGGCGCGTTTCAGCCTACGGCAGTTCAGGTTCCCATTCGTGTGCTGGAGGACCCAAAGAACTTTGGTGCCGGCACTCTTACTATTCTTTATTTATTTTTCTTCTTATTATAATCATTATTACTTATATTATTATACTTATTATTATTATTAAGATATTCTCACTACGGAGCTGTTCGGGCCCTTTCAAGTGCTGGTGACTTATGAAGACGCCACCGAAGGAGTCATGCTTGACGTATTGGAGAGTATGAAGGCACGGTTAGCGCGCTTCTCTATATTATTGTTCAAGTGCAGCTGTTTCAATACATATACAGACTGACGGCTGCTGTTGTATCCAATGATATTCTTTTTATTAACAAAATTCTGGCACGCACTACCAATGGCACGATTTATGTCGGCAGACGCGCTAGAACGACGGGTAGCCCTTGCTTAGCGGTACCCCGCACTGCGCCTTTTTTTACTGAATCACAAACAACAGGCGCTCCTCAGCAGCACTGGTTTGGGCCATGTGGTGACCCGCGTGCTGCTGGAATCCACACGGCGGAGGCCATCAAGCTTTGCTGGAGCGGTCATCGCGAGGTTATCACTGACGTTGGTCCAGTCGACGCGGACTTTGTAGTAAAGACGCCAAATTAACGTGTGAGAAGGGAAGTTTTTAATAAAGAAAATTTCAATAGTTTAGTAAAAATTATGAGTTACAAAATTATTTGTGTTAATTTTTTTTTAATGAAGTTGAGGCCGATTCTCTTTTTTTTACTTGCAAATTCTTACTTTTTAGGCTTTTTTAGCGTTGAGGAATGCTTTGTTTCACGTCCACTTTTCTTTATTCTTAAGTATTAGCGTTATGGAGTTTTTACTGGAAATTTATATTTTTTGTTAGGGATCGAGTTTTGCTTTACTTCGGGAAAACTAGTTATTATTCGTAATTTCTTTAATATAATTAGTTGTATGAGTTTTTCGGTTTTAAGAGATATAGGAAAAGTAGTAGTGAGCATATATATATTATCCACTGGGGGCAGCCAGTAAATATATTTTGCGGTTATATTTAAATTAAATAGATTATTAATTATTTTGTATATTTTTTTTCACTATATATTTTTATGCTTAAGAATTAGTGATTTTTTATATAAATATTTATATAACTTAGCTCACGTGCTATTAATTTGTATCACAGACAGTACTTTATTGTAAATTATATATTATTTTCCTCTTTTTACTCGAATGTTGGGTACAAGTTATTAGCATGTAAAGAAACTTCCTATGAAGTTTGTGAAATTTTTTGTCACTCATTTAAGGCAGACAGGCAGGTAACTTTACGACGCCCCATAAAGCGTTTCATTGGCGTCAAAAAACAATTTTTGTTAAGCCGACGAAATTTAGAACATCTCAAGTGTGGGTCTGTACCACGTGTCCCAAGGAAGCTAGTTAGCGGTGACTGCTACTGGGCTGTTTTAAGAGAGACACTTACCGTGAAGGTTCTCACAAAAAACAGGGACTTGCTGATAATACACCTTCTGAAGCTCTTTTTTCATGGATTGAACATGGACTGCGCTCTAAAATAAGATAAGGGTATATAGCGGTGTACGATATCGTCGGAGTTCCAGTAAGAGTGTCGTTGGTCGTGCAATCAGTAGTATAGCGGTATGTGAACCCTAAGGTGGCTCGCAGCTAAAAATTGCAGTGCTGAGCTTTGCACTGTAGTTAATTATCTAACAGCAGTTGCATCGCCCTACGCGTGTGCCCTTCCTCAGTTCAGATCGTTTAATATCAATATTGCAATAGATTGACGTATTACTTATTTCGAAAACTTCTCATCACTAATTTAAAATAAGGTGTTTTTGCAATGCTTTATCACTCATAAGCGTCCTGTCGACGAGTTATACTATAGCGGTTGCTAAAAATAGTATATTATTTCTTCAGCACGTCTTAAAAGATTGAAAAGCTTACGTCATTTGTTAGACGGCGTTTTTAAAGAAGGCCTACTTCTGTTATTCACACAGAAATGACTGAGAGAATTTCTAACTAAAGCAGGCCTGATGAGACTCTTGTAGCAAAAGGTAACACTAAACACACAACATAAAGTTAAACCACAATTATAAAAAAAAAATTTAATACATTACCATTCATATATCAACAATAAAGAGAATGCGCAAGTAAACGAGCTTAATCAATATATATGCTTAAAAAAATAATAAGCAAAGTTAAAAAAGAAATTGACGACTAATAGAAAAAATTATAAATAGTCATCCAAAAAGTGATTCTTTAAAAAAAAAATAGAATTTCTGTTTAAATGAAACTAACCATATTGAATACAAGTGCTTGTTTAAATATGGGATAAATTAACTAAACCCTTCGTTTGCTAAAAGATGCAAATTAATAACAAAGCGATAATACTGTGATAAATAAATTTAAAAACTTTTAATGTTAATTTCAGGCTTAAAGAGAACTAGTGTATTTTAAAGAAAGTTATTTAAAATAGAAAAAAATTATAGAGAAATATAATAAATAGTTAGTTAAAGCTAAGAAGCACTGTAAATAATTTTTAGTTGTTAATACACGCAATTCTGTATGTATCTAAACTGATTGCTCAGCTTTATTCGTTTTTTCTTTTTTTTTAATAATACCTCTCTAAATTTACCGCAACCCCAAAAGAAACGCCCCACAGTTGGACGCGATTAATTCGTTATGAGGTTACGTGTACACGTTCGTCAATATCAGTTAATTCACAGCAGCACCAACAGCGTAGTTCAGTAATTCCTTGTCCATGTTTATATTTTTGGTAGCTTTGGGGGAAAGCAAAATATGGTTGCTAAAAATTTGACTATTATTACTATACAATGTTACCATTAAATTTATTACTATAGTAATTACTTTTTCTTATTTCGCTGTTATTGTGTTCTATTACCATCGTTACCTTGTTGAATACTATTATATTCACTACTTTCAGTTTTAACGGCAAGCCACTGTCCTCTTTATATTGAATACAGGTAGCTCGAGCAGTTAATTATTTTACTGTTTGAAAGGGTTAAAGAGCACAGTTTAGCTGGTAATTTTTATTATATAGAATGCAGTTGTAGTTAGGTTTGTGCACATGTTAGTACCTCGAGAGCCTAATTTTCACTTATACTTGGTCAAGTTTTAGAAGATTTGTTCCTAGTAAAGAATATCAAAATTTATATACGTTGAGGGTGTTAATGTATAGAATGAATAAATGTGAAGTAAAAGTATTAGTAATATCGATTCAGAGTTAATGTGAAACATATGTATAAGTATAGAGTAAAAAATATATGAATAGTGAAGTATGTACTTATATGTCTTACGAGACATATTTGCTGACCTGTATTAATTAGTATTTACATAAAAAAAAAGAGAAAATTATTTTATATATGTTGACCTCAAATTACAAATAAATATTCTTAATCTAACAGATTTGTATCCATTTACTGTAGGTGTAAAATAATTATATGGTTTTTCCTGTTAAAGTAAAATCATTATAATTTTTGCGCATTGGTTAAGATATTTATATATGATTGATATACCCACGGATATTTTCTTAGTTAGAAAATTTGGTTTAACATATTTTTGCTGTTATTATATCATTATTTCGTATTTTGTGTTATTATGTTTTCTGTTCTGTCATTCTGTTGTGCTGTTGTTTTATGCTACTGTGTTAAGAAGCTTCTCAACTCTTGTTATATCTATAGTAAAGCGCCGCCTGCGCCTCTCTATTTATAAATTCAATTTTAGTTTTGGTCCCCTTTTTTCTAGTTTTTGTTGTTAGTTTCTTTTGCTTATTCTTGTTTTCTCACATTAACTTTAAACTCAGGCGTAGATGTTATTTTCTTTTTTTTCCCAAGCCTTATTTAAAAAAGTTTTTGTCCCGTATCATTCTACATTTTAATAGCTCAAGTAAATATATAAAAATATCAGTGGTAAATTTTGAATAGTATGAAATCTTTTTTTATAATTGAACGAGTATTGCGTTTAATTTTTAAATTTTTCTTTTAAGTTTTTGTAGAGTCTTAACATTTCCTTTATAATATAAAGCGAACGCAGTATATTTACTAACAATTTTTTTAAAAAAAATTTAAAATTTTTAAAGTATGGCTTTGCTTATCACGCATAGTTGATTCATCTTTATCAGAATGAAGTTGATTTAGCTTAAAATAGGTTTTTCTAAAAAAATTGTATTTTTATATTGATTATTTAAATAGATATCTAAAGTGGTAATAATACGGCATTCACACAGTGTATATACCGGCAATCGTCTTGCTATTACTTCCGATAATAAATTAACACTTTTCATTATTAATTTGTCCAAATTTCTTGAAGAAAAAAATTTTATACTCTAAAAATTTTATTGTTTTGCTTAGCGTCTCAAGTTCTTATCATTATCCAATAATTTTCATTCTAAAATTCAACTCAATTTTTGCCGTTTTTTTTTATTCTTCTATGCTAAAAAGTGAAACTTGGCAGGAACCCTTATGGGGTCAAATTTAATAGCACTTTTTAGTAAGAGCCACAACCAAAAGTTTTAATGTATTTAATAAAACTTGACTTAGAACAGATTACGATTAATAAGTTTTAAGGCCTGCGTATCACCCCCCCCCCCTCTACTGTTTTTCATTATAAAACATATTGCAGACTCCGCTGCCTTTACAAAAAAATATACGAGCCGTTATTGTAGCAATGATCACCAGCCATGAGAACAGAGGGCCTCCCGCGCTACACCCAACGACTCCCTCAGATCTTCGTTTCAACACCTGCCGCCAGGAGAACCGGGCTTTCGTGACACACACCAAGCCAAACTCGAGACGGCACGAATAAGAGAAACGTCGGAACTTTCTCTTCTAGGCGGGAGCCAGCTTATATACTAATTTAAACACAAACCAGTGTGTATCACTTTTACGGGACGCGTCGATCCTAATTGCTAACACCTCTGATGGACTATTTGTTTCTTATGTATGACAATAATTATTATATGGACCGAATCAGGTTAATATCTACTCAGTGGTTTTATTGCTACTATAATACTGGCTTGTTTAGTGGGTATTTATGTACTAGCTAACTTTACATATAATTTTTTATATACCATCTACCAGCGTAAAAGATCTGTTGATCAAAATTTTTGTAGTAGATTCGCTTAACAATACAACTCTAATTTAATTGAACTATAAGGAGAGTAAAATAAACCTGTAAATAAAGTATAATTTTAAATACCAGTTAGCTATAATTTTTAATTACTTTTCATTTGTACGTTTAATAATTACTAACAGTCTTTCTAGGTTAGATTCAGTTTTTTCGCGAGGAAACCTAAGCTCAAAAAAGTTAAGACTGCATTTTTTAAAAGACGCATATAATCGATAATCTTAGTAAAGATGAGTGAAAAGTACTATTTTTGTCACGATAAATAATTATAATAAATATATCAAAAACAGCATTGTAAACAATATATGGATTTCTACTGGTACGATTGTGGAACTATTAATAAAGTTATCAAAGCGATTTACCTTTATTACTCCGCAATCTTTAAAATAAAAAAATTATATTTGCCGAGAAAATTTGCGTGGCTGAGTTTATAAAGTCATAGAAGCAAGTAATTATTTAAATAGTTGGTTAATAGTATAAATTTTTTTTTAAAATAGTAAAATTAAGCTCTGTTACGAGCTAGTAATAGTGAAAACTAATTTTCTTTTCATAACCTCAAACATTTTAGCTAACGCAATTCTAAAAGAATACATCTAGAAAGCTACTGGTTTATATATGTTAGTTTCACTCAGCAAATTTAGAAGTACATTCGACAATATTATATAATTAAAACTAATAATATAGTAACAGAAACAGGTATATATTGGAAGCTCAAATAGCTTTCTGAATTGCACACTTTAAAGCACTACATGGTTCAAAACAATATATATATATCGTTAATCGAATGTAATAGCAATACTAGGTCACAACTGATAGGGAAGGCCCATACCGAGGATATACCTTAAAAACGCCTTTGATACCTTTTATATAGATTTTAAAATTCCCAAAAAATGAAATTAAATCTACCATAAACAAAAAAAAAACTCTTTAGTACAAGGAACTTGAAAACTTTATACTTCTGGTTTATCTTATGAAATCCGCACTTGCTTTAAGCAAATAAAGAAAATAACTTTCCTTTTATAAAATTGAGCTCTCACTTAGAAGAATGGGCAGCGTAAGTTTAAATTTTACGATTATCAAAACGGGAAAAAAGGCAGAAGCGTTTTTCTTTGTAATGTTAACCATTTTATTCGGGGCTTTAGCAATCTATACTTACCGAAGTGTACTTGACAAAATATTCATTCAAAAGTATGGTCTGTAAGGAAATTCGTTAAAATCAGAAAGTCATAAAGTTTTTATGAACAATTTAAATGCGCGTAAGGATAATAATCTATATTGTATGTAAATGTATGGGAAGAAACATAAATCTGTAACAAGATTCCATTAAAAGAACATATTTCAACAATTTATAATATAAAACGGTAACAGGCGGAAGTTTAAGTTATTCTCGGGCAGAATATATTATAGAAGCTAAAATCAGTACAAGGAACTGACAAAAGAAGTTATACAAGTTCACTTTTCATAAATATAAAAAAAACTGTACAGCTCTCCCCCATGATGGTGGTTATTCGAAAAGGCCATAGGTTAATAAATATGAGCTTTTACTAAGAGATTTATGCAAACTGCGCAATCGTACTCTCCATGCCAATAGTATTTAATAACCGCTAGATAGAAGGCTCTAAAAACTGCAGTTAAGAGTTGGCAGCTTAAGACTTACTTCGACTTATTGAATATTGATCATAAAATCTTTTTAGGGCTGTGTGCATTGGTTCAATTTAAAAAAACTGTATTTAGCATTGAATCGATTTCTAGCTTTAAAATTTCCAAAGGACAATAAAAATGGCAATGTTTTTAAAAGTCAATCCTATTCGTAAAAATCAAGAGGTAAAGCTGCCCCCCGTAGCCCCGTAGGTTGTAACATTGCGCTTATAACATAATAGAATTTATGACGGATTGGTTAAATGCGCAATCATCAAAAACCGAAATTGAGAATAGCGTTGGTGCCAATCGAACCCATGATCTTGAGTATGTGCACCAATTTTCTTAACACTGCTGAGCTACGACGATAACTCTAAACCCCAGTATAAAGCTCCTTTTACGTTCTTAGGGTTCGCGTAGGATTACCATATGAAAGGCAAGATTGAAAATGTGTTAGTTCTTAGTGGTAAGACTAGCCAGCAAGTGTTTAATTTAAAGTATAATGTAAATTATTCAACATAGAAATATATTTATTTTAAACTATACCTACCACTATTCCCAGGAATAGCCTAGCCAGTACACCTATGTTACAGCTCCCTTAGCCTTTACTAACCGGTTGCTACAAATGCGTTAATAATTTAAAAAGCAAAGGATTAGTCTTTGTTAGATATACACCTGACTTGTTATCTATAGCGTTAGCACCTTTCCGGTAGTCCTAGTTAAGGCAGGCATTACAACTCGAATGATAATTTTTTAAGTTCTCTTATATAATGTAATATCAAATGAATAATATAAGTAGAACTCAGTCGCTACAAATAGAAGAAGCTCTTATAACTGATTCTGAAGATATAACTTTGATTACAGAAGAAATTGACGATTGTTTTATTATTGACTCCAGTATACAATATAGCGTTGCTCGTTCTATTTCAGAACATAGTTTTGGAGAGTTTGATACTTGTTTTTCCGGCCAAGATAATATTATTAACATTGAGGATGATGAGTCTCTAAACTTTTCCTTATCGGTTAACGCAAATTTCGAACAGCTACCGTTCTTTTCGAATTTTTATAAGACAGGTTAACTTAAAGTAAATTTTTTTTTTATGATTGACGACATATTTTTAACTTATTAATTGATTACTGGAAATACGTAGCCAACCAGAAAGTTGAAAAAAAATACTCCTATGAAGGCATATATATATATATATATGAGCACCCTTTATGTTTTTTTATTTCAATTTTTTTTGTTATTATTTTTTTCATACTTTTTAGTTTATATTTTATATATTTATAGTTGTCGATTTGACAAAAGATGTGGGAGATGAGGGTACTCAATTATAAGTTTTAGCAAATCACCTTAAGATAAGTTTAGTAACGACTTTTTCCGACCCTTTTTTTGGTATTTTAGAAGGAAGCATTGATTGTAGTAGCATTAAAGAAGGAGTCCAAAGCTCGGATGATGTAGAAGTTCAAGTTATTGCTACTCCCAAGCTTTATAAAACTGGCTGTCGCAGAAATAATTCTTTCGGACTTTCGTCATGTAACAAGGAACATTGTAAAATTTGCCCTGTACCTAATTTTTTTTTTTAGAAATGGTAAAATTTTTAAGATATTTTTTAGGTTTGCTTAGATGTTATGGTTCAAATGACTAGCACCAAATGTGGCCATGTTTTTTGCAAGAACTGCATTGTTGCTGCAATCCGTGCAAAGCAGATTTGTCCTGTTTGCAGGAAAAAAGTTAGCTTGCGGAGCATTCATCCAATATTTTTATAACAGAACTTCTTGTGTCTTCTTACTTCTGTTCTTGTATTTTGGTTAACTACAGTTGTTTATTTGCTTAATATTTTCTATTCAAAATGTTAACAAAAATTATGCAACTAATTTTAAACCAGCTCTGGAGTGGCTTTTATTAGTTTTGACCATAATAACTTTGAAACAAAATTATTTTCAGCTGATGCAATTTAATAAGCCTCCTTCAAGTTTATAGACTGAATAAAGTAGCATAGTAGAATATTATAATTATTAATAAAAAATTAAAATTAAATTTTTATTAATCTAATTTACAGGAACTACCAATTAGTTTAAATAAAAGCTGTGAGCTCGTCACTTATAATGCTTTTAGTCTGTAAATGCATACATGTTTTATTAAGAGCACTTGAAGGGGAATAGGTAGTGGAAGATATAAGTTAGTACAACTGCATATACCAGCAGTAAAGTTTATAAGTAAATTCAATTTTATACAAAGTTATTTAATTAAAATAAAGTAGGATGCGGTTCTTAGTTCCTTAATTTAATTGATATAAATATAACAAATACTTACACTTCAGTTATCTGAAATAAAAAATAACATTTTACTTCTCTTAAAAAAAGGTGACGGGACCATTTATTAAAGTAGATTTAAGGAGATTAGCCTCACTATTAAAAAGAAAACAATAAGTATATTTATTACTACTTGTTAGGGTAAAAGGGGCTTGTTTCCTCAAGGTAAGCTTTTGCTTATTTATTTAAACCTCAAAAAAAATTTCTTAAGCTATTAATATTTTACAAAGTATTATTATGATATATTAATTATAATTACTATGAAGTTAGGGTTTGTAGTTAAAGTCAACAAAAGTTTAGGCTTTTCATTTATTTTATATATTAATTAATGTTCCACCTTCAACAAACTTCGCTCAAACCGCTTCACGGAAGCAATGGCCTTTTGCCTCGCTAAAACGCGGTTCAGCCAAGCCAGATGGTATAGTTTTAGGGCGCGCGGCCAGCGGAGCAGTATCAAGTGCCACACTTGACTAAACGCCTTCTTGACGCAAGTCAAATTTCGCTACTTCTTTTTAGGATGGCAGAGATTTGCGTTCGAGACCTTAACTGAAATATAAACTGGAACTTCGGGTAATGCAATAGCGTGCCTTAAAGACGGCCTTTAGCAGGGCATCCAACAGCTTATAAAAGTTTGATGGGACGCAATTATCTAGATGCAGAAGCGGATCGTGGTGTTCCAGATCTCACGTTTCCCAATGCGTTGAGAAGATACTGAACTGAATTAACTAAGCTGCATAGGTATCTATAGTCATCATGATACAATTTAGGATCTCGTTGGTAAGTTTATCGGGTCTATGCCTTTCCCCTTAGCCACCGCCTTGATGATCGCCTTATTATCGCTTGTAGAGGCCGGCGCGAGGGGTTCACCCAACTTTGTTTAAAGGAAAGTCGGCTGGTGGAGAACATTAGTGAAAGTTTACGTAAATTAACGAGGAATGGTCAGCGGTATAGTGAGGAGGGGTGTCGCCTTTTTTTTTCCGCCTTCAACTATATTTCATGATGCTAGCATAAAGAAATGCTGTCATTCCTTGCTACTGGACTTCTCCCAGGGGAGGATGGGGCACCATTTGCTAAGGGGTGAACATCTGTAAGCAAAAAAAGTAGTTTGCTATCGAACTAAAATTTTGCATTGGCCAAGAAAAACTCATTTTGCGTCAATATCTTGAAGAGCTGGTAGTAATAATAAACCACCTCATTCGTATAAAGCTGTTGCTGTTAGTACGTAAAAAGTTAAGCTTGCGGACCAGGGAATCTAATAAGTAAATCCACGTGATCAAGTGATAAGTAGGGAAATATAATAATTTTTACAAATGTTTATAACGCCATTTTTATAGCTCTGTAATAGAAGATGGGCAAATATAGTTACTAATAGAGAGATAGGTTAGATGTTAACAATATTTTTAAAAACCGAATTCTCCGGAACAACGGGGTTCATTAAATTCCTCAATGAGTAACCGGGAATAAATCTAAAGAATTCATCTCCTATCAATGGTTTGGTGAGATCATTAAAGGCTACCATACAAAGGAGTGTGAGAGATTAAAAGTCTTTCTAAGGCCAGTATATACACGTCTATTATGCGCCCTCCAAAGGCAGCTTCAAATTTAGGAGAGGGTGCGGGACAGTCTAATGAGCTTGTTCTACTTTTTTTACTTTTATTAATTTAGCGCTATAGATTACGATCTACACGGTAGAAGAAGTAAACTAACCAAAGGAAAAATAGAGATTTAGACTAGTAAAAAAAAAACGTGCGTGGTTGTTGTTTTCTCATATCTTTTCCCTTTTTATTCTTTGCTCTACTAAAAATCAAACTAGGTTATAACCTTGCTTTTGTATCCCTTTAGAGGTGTAGCTTGCTTTCTCCTAAATTTAAAATTGCTCTTAGGGACCAGTGGATGAATTTTTCAGATAAATATTAGACTTCTACAGCGTGGAAGACCCGAAGTTGTTCTTTGACAACTTGCGTACAAGTATAGCGATAAATGCACAAGTGAAGTCAGTCGCAACCTGCTATTAAAACTAAAGATTTATGGAGGCTACAATCAATTTTTACGTACCAGCTATACAGTAATTTAATGCATGTTTACTTCAGTTATAAAGCAACTTATAAAGTCAAGAGAAAGATTCTTTTCGACGTTTTAGACACTTTGATTACGAAATTAGTTATTAGTAGCTTTTATACATAGCATAGTAATAATTCTTTTATAAATACACTACTAATTTTGAAAATAGTAAAAGAGTTTGAATAATTTTTTTTGTGCATTTTTTATATATACAGCGAGTAACTATTTTTATGAAATCGTCGGTTGCTTATTTAGTCATCTTAATTTAATTTTTAGATTTAATTGTATAATATCCTTTTTAATAGTCTTTATATAGATCTTTTTATTATTTTTCTTTGTAATAAAAATGGAAGTTTCTTTTAAAAGATATGAGTAAAGAAATTAAAGTAAATAATACAAAGTTTAGGAGCTATAACGTTTTACAATTATATTTAGATTGAATTCCTTATTTCTACTATAACATAAACTGTGGGCCCGCAAACATGGCTAACTTTACAGAGTTTACGCTAAAAGCTTATAAGATGGCCTCTTTTAATTCATCTCGTATATTCGCCAAGCTGCCCTTATTTTAAGTTTATTACAATTAATAAATACTCGAACTCTATAACTTTTCCTTGAATTTTTATTATATAGTTGTATAATAAAATTCGAGATCACTTTACTTATTTTTTTTTTTAAATGTACAAAAACTTAAGCGGCTCCACAGACTTTACGATAATTTTTTTTTTCAAATTAAGAAAATAGTAGTCAGTAAAAAACTTTTACCAGAAAGAAATAAAAAAAGTTTAAAAAAAAGTCGAGAAAAGTTAAATATCTTTTAATAGAGGCATAATGAGAATACAAATAAAAAATTTATTCTTTATTATAATAATTAATTTTCCAATAAAATTTTAAAGTATATTTAAATTAAATATCCACGAGATAAGCCGAAGTTCTTGGAAAAAACTAAAAAAGAAAATTGCTTATTACTTGTAAACAAGCAGGAAAAGTTGTAATATACACCCGCTCACACTGAGGGCAGTATGAGTCGTTCGGCCGGTCTTCCGGATTCACGCAAAACTCACAAAAAATCTAAAGCAAATAACTTTCTGTTTCATACTATAACAACACATAAACTCACGTGGCCACATGGCAAAGCTCGGTTGCGCAGATGCACGTTGCAGCTGCTACAAATTTGTGCGGCGTTCAAAGTAGTCATGTTTTGGGTGTCGTCATTTCTGTATTTCTCTTTGTTAAACAGTTTTTTTCTTATTTTCTTCTCTTTTTTATAAAGGTAAGCTTTAATAATACTATGACCAAAGAGATAACGGGGAGCACCTTCTATTAAAATCCGTTTTTCCAGCAAACTTAAAGGTTTAGACGTGTAGCTGAGTACATAACAGAACATTAGTAATACTTACGGTGAAAGTTATACGCACTAATAAATAAAAACTCGTAAGGGTTTTTACTAAACGGGAGCAATAATATTTTACTGGTACCTTTCATCAAGCTTCTCGTCACCGTGCTTATAGGCGCACCGCTCGCTCCAGTTGCACCTGAGCGGGGGTTTTGCCCAGCGCTCGCAAACCCTATAAAGGTGGTGCGACTATTATTTCGAAGTTTTTTCCTAACACGTAAAAGTACCTAGTTTTATATTTTTCTCGATGGTACATCACTTCCATAAGAGTGTGAGACATGCGGCACGCGTCCCCTTTGGGGCATGCTTTTTCGCATGGAACTGTAAAATATTTAGTTAAATTCTTAAGAACTTTTCTACCGGAAGGTTGCCCCCAATTCGCTAGTTTTTTACAATAGACGTTGGGACATGGCTCCGGTGTGTAATCGTATATGTCTAACATTTTAAGGTGGGCTCACTGCTTTGAAAACTTTTATATGAACTGTGTCTCACCTGGATGACGTCTTCTTTCCTTTGCATCGTGGTAACCATCACAGTTGGTCTTAAAAGGACAAGAAACTAATACACCAAAGTAAATAGGCCACTTTTGTAAGGGAGCAACCGAGGTAACCTTTAAGAAGTTTAACTGAGGCTTTTTTAAGACAGAATAGACTATCTATTGAGAAAAGATAAAATATGAGGATGTAACAGTACATTAAGTATAAAATAAAAAATATTTCTTTCGGTACCAATTCTGTTTCCAGTAAGTTCTCTGGTTTTATAGCAGGCCAATGTTTTATAAAGACGCACATCAAATACAGGTTGGGTCTTCAAAGGACTAAGGCTGTCAAAGGGCTTGTAAAATGCTGCGTCGTCGCTCCGGTTCTCAAACTTTTCTGAGAGATACATTGTTTGTTGCTTTAATACCAGCTCCTGGGTCCTTAATTCCTCGGAGGAGTGTGCTGTTACCATTTTTAACATTTAATAAAAGAATGAAATCGGCACACGTGTATTGTAACTTGAAACCTTTATAGCAGTGTGGGCCACAATTTCGCTCCTCAGGTTTTAAGGT